TTGGCTGGAACGGGACGTCACATTCTGTATTTGTCCTGATTGCCTAGTAACTTAGAACTTTTAAAAGAGGCAAAGTCAGAGGAGAACAAAGAAGGAGGGAAAACTTGTAGCATGCCAGGGCAAATATTTAGGCTAAATTGTGGGAGCTAAGAACATAAAGTATATTGATTTTTTTTAATTATGGCTAGCAGATATTTAAGAATGTTAGCATAGGTCTTTGAATACATTTTGTTTCGAAGAGAAGTTATTATTTATTCCTAATTATATGGGAGGAAAGTCTTTGAAGAGGAACCTCTACTTGTACAATGTGAATGTAATTAATGTCACAAAACCGTGCATTTAAAAATGGTTAAGGTGGGCCAGGCGCAGTGGCTCGTGCCTGTAATCCCAGCACTTTGGGAGGCCGAGGCAGGCGGGTCATTTGAGGTCAGGAGTTTGAGACCAGCCTGGCCAACATGGCAAACCCCATCTCTACTTAAAATACAAAAATTAGCCAGGAGTGCTGGCGGGCGCCTGTAATCCCAGCTACTCAGGGGGCTGAGACACAAGAGTCACTTGAACCCAAGGGGGTGGAGGTTGCAGTGAGCCAAGACTGCACCACTGCACTCCAGCCTGGGTGACAGAGCGAGACTGTGTCTTAAAAAAAAAAAAAAAAAAAAAGATTAAGATGGTAAATTTTGTTATGTATATTTTATAATTAAAATATTTTAAATGGAAAAAAATCCTGAAAAACGAACTATTATTTTATTGCAGCCCCATAAGGGACTGAGGAGCTGGAGGGGCCATGGAAGCCACAGTGGCTGGAAGTCCGGGGACAAGGTTTTATTCTCAGCTGTGTCCCCACCTGAGTGGCTTTGGGGCATTTACACGACTGTAAAACCGTGGGATGCCTGGAGCAGAGGGGGGATGCTAGGTGTTGCAGAGATGGATGAACTGGCAGACAGGCAGGCGGTGGAGGCTCCCAGGGTGGCATAGCATCTGCCGAGGTACCAGGTGGACGGCACCTGGCGAGGGTGAGCTCTTAGTAGGTGCCTGGGGAGAGTGTGGAGCCCAGGGCCATGGCCGCGTCCTCAGCAGCCCTGAGAGCTGCATGCAAAGCTCCTGGAATTTCTGCAGCCTCACAGAGGAGGGGGCGTCTTTGTGACAGCAATGGGTCACATCAGGTTTGAGGACCCTGGGCAGGATGGATAGATGGGCTGATGTCCCCCTGCCCCTGCGGCCAGTCCATCAGAAGGGTAACTGCTTGTCACCCGGCTGCCCTGCTGGGGCAGGTACGTCATCCAGGCGATGCCAGTACCCCCTGCGTCCATGGCGATGGGTCCCAAGGGGAGGGGCTCATGACTTCGCTGGGCCTGGAGGCTTTGCCGGTCCTCACTGGCTCCCAAGTCCTCTACGGGCTCACCCGCTGCCCATCGCAGCCAATGTGCTGCCCCTCGACACTTTCAGGGACTCTAGGGAGGGAGCCTGTCCTCTGCTCAGTCCCTCTAGAAGCCAGCACTCCTTAGGGCCCAGAGATGACAGCTTGCCGGAAGCATCGAGTGTCAAATCTGGAAGGGAAGCTAAGCCTTCTTGTCCAGCCCCCAACTTTGATGCTGAAGGAGCTGGGGCTCAGGGAGAGGCCTGAGGTCACACGTGCGCAGTGAGGCGCTCATCTCCCGGAACAGCATGGTCCCTGGCCTCTCCCATCATTGCACTTGGGCAGCCGTGAGCCCTGTCCCATGGGGATCTCAGACCTTAGCCTGGGGTGCCCCTGCCCCACCCTCTTGCTCAGGGCCTGGGTTCAGTGGGGCTGCCTTGGTTCCCACCCTGCCCACCCACCCTGGAACCTGAGCCCGACCCATGAGGCCACCTCTGCTTCACGTAGCCTACCTGCCATGGAGACAGAGCGGCTGTCCGGCTCCTGGAGAAACACTGCTTGGCTGGGGCTGGGCTGTGGCTGCCACCCAAGGGGACCCTGCCTGCTGGGAGGAGTGGTCACCACTCGTCCACTCGGCACCTCAGCTCAGCCCTCAGGTGCTCACACAGGCTGTGGTCTCTCGGCAGGACTGTCCTTGCGTCTTCGATTGCCCTTCGTCCACGTCCCGAGGTTGTGGTCTTCCCACTTGAGCTGGACTCTGGTCTCCGAAGGTGAGATGCAGACTCTGGGGCGTGCAGGGGCCCTTCTCCAAGCCACTCTCAGGCTGTGCTGTCCAAGGCTGTGCGGAAGGAGGGCAGGTGGGCAGGTTCTGACGTTGCAGAGCCCCCCCTTCCTCCCTCCTTGTCCTCCCTCTTCAGGCCCCTCCCTTCCCTAACTAAGAACCCCCTAGCTATTCCTGATCGATGGGCTCAGGCGTGGCAGGGGTGAGTGGGTGGGAGCGTGGTTCTTGAGGACGGCTGGGCATCTGCAGGGGTCCAGGCCTGGCTGACTGGAGGGGCTGGGCCCCAGGGGCTGGGAGGCACAGTGGGAGCAGCAGATTGAGGGCTGAATGGTGGAGGAGGTGCCCTCCCACCAAGACCCAGACCCCTGACCTGAGGCTGGCCCCAGCCGGCTGGCAGATGCGCAGTTGTCAGGAGGAGTGTGAGCAGGAAACACAAGGGGGCAGCAGCAATGAGTGTGGTCAGCATAGAGCCCCAGACTGGGGTGGCGGGAAGCCCAGGTCCTGTGGCATGCGAATCCACACACACAGACACGTGGATGAACTCAGGGAGCTGCGCAACACTGGCAGATCCTACAGTCTCCGGAGTGCCTCAGTCTCCCCAGTTAACCTAAGCACATAATCTCTTCTGCCTGTGATGGTCTAGCCCAGCCTGGAGAGCGGTAAGCCCATCTCGCCTGGCACTGGGGGCAGTGCCCTGGCTGACGGTGCCCACGTAGCCTCCATCTGGGCATGAGTGGAAACGGTGAGGCTGGCCCAGGTGAGAAGTGGGCGTCCGCTCTGCCTGTGGGTCTGTCTGTTCTCTCTGGCCTGACCAGGCACCTTCTCCAGGCTGCCTGCAGCCTGTGCTGGGCATTCAGGGGACACACGGATCACTCTGCAGGGAGGCAGAACCCGGAGGTCCCCCTGAGCTGATGCCAGTCCCTTGGTTGAGGGTGCTCTTTGGCCTTTTGACTCTTGCCCAATGGCACAGAGTGGGTCGTCTGGCGGGAGCACCCCACACCTCCTCCAGAATCCTGTCTTGGGGATGTTGGGTTGACAGTGACCTTGATTCCTAAGAGGGGGCACAGAGGGGCTGGGGGGTGGCAGGGCTGCTTCTCCCTGAGTGCTATGTTCTGGGCGCTCCTCCCTGCAGCTCAGAGATGCCTGTGGCTCAATCCCTTGTGTCTCATATCTCAGCCTGCAGAGCTGGATGGGACCCCACACGAAGAGGGTGGGCTGGCTCTGGGGGCATGTAATGGGAGGAGGGCCGGCCCCTGGCCCAACCCCATGCCCAGCTGTGTCAGAGAAGGCTGCCAGCGCTCTGGAGTTGCTGCCAGGCAAGATGGGGGTGATCTGTGTGAGATGGAGGGTCTGAGCAGCCCCTTGGGGCTATACCACAGGTGTACTCATCTGCCCTGGCCATGGCATGGTGGGTGGGAAGTGGGGAGATGATGGAGGGAGTTGGGGGATCCAATCCAGTCCTGGTGGCTCCCCTTCACCGAGATAACCAAGGGAGGGCCAGGCTGGGATTGTAGTGGCCCCTGATATGTGTGTGTGTGCGATTCTGATCTGTGTGATGGGAAACAGCCGCCCCCCCCACACACGAGCACACTGACATGCTAACCCACACACACGCAGACACACGGATGAACTCAGAGCCTGCTGACTCGCCACACAGTGCACACACGTGCAGCTTCTGTGCACATGGACTTACCACACGGCACGTGCACAGACACAGGCATGCACACGCACAGGCGCAGCAGGCCTCCCTGCACACCCCTCCCCGGCTGGCCTGCCCTGCCTGCCCGAGGCGCCTGCTGGCCCCCTGCCCCCTCATCCATCTTGCCTGCCAGCCTGTCCCTGGTGCCCTCGTATCCTTCACACCTTCTCATCTCACTGCTCAATACCAGGAGGTGGTGTGGCAGCCGTGGCCGCAGGGAAATGGATGGGGCGGGCGGGGGTGTAGAGGGCTGCGGGAGTGGCACTGCAAGGGGACTCTGGGCTCCAGCAGCCCCAGCTGTCCAACAAGAGTCCATTAGGCTCAGGCAGGTGCAGGCAGTGAGGCTGCAGCCAGGTCGCATGTAGCCCTGCCTATTTGTCCTGCCATGACACCCTGAAGGGTGCCAGCATCAGGACAGAGGGGCCCTCAGCAGCGGGCCTCATGCCGGCTTGCTGGACATCAGTGCGTGGTGTCCTGGGGATGGTGGAAATGATGGCTTCCCAATTAGAGCTGGGAAGTCCCTCTGCCCCAACCCAAGCCACCTCCTCCTTGCGTCTCTGCAGTTGGACAGGCTGTCCCGCATGGGGACAGCCTTGTCTTGCTGTGGCTCTTCCCCCAGCCCTGACTCCCTGCTTGAGCCACTATGGGCACCGGGCTCATTACACACTTGGAAATGCACATCTGGCCACATAGAGATCCCCTTAGAACGCCCAAGCAACTGAGGCTCTTGGAAACACGTGTGTGTGGGAAACGCACAGACACGCACGCCAAAGAGCACACGGGGCAGGCGCCATGCATGGACAAACACACACGTGTGCACAGACATGGGCCCGGCTCTGCGCTCCCCACACTCACCCTCTGGCCCCAGGACTGTAGGAAGGTTGGGGGGTCCCCCTCTGGGTTGTGGCTTCCTCTGAAAGCCCCTCTGCTGGATCCAGAGCAAAATTCTTCTCCAGGTTCTCCTCCTACACTCTGGGATCCTCCTCTGGGCATGGATGGACAGTTGTGGGCACAGAGGCAGCCACCACTGGCCCCAAGACACTTGTGCATCCAAGGCTGCACTGGCCAGACCTCCCCCAGATCCTGTGGTCAACCTCCCTTCCTCCATCCACTTCCCCAGCCAGACAGGAGCTGTGCAGGACAGAGGACACAAACCATGGACCTCTGGACATCTTCCATTTTATAGAATGGGAAACTGAGGCCAGGGGCTGGGGGGCCTGGCAAGGAACATGGTACATGGTAGGTGGCAAAAGGGACCTCTGTGCTCAGAGCTATGCCTCAGGACCCATTGTTCAGATGGGAAGACTGAAGTTGGGGAGGTGTGGCTTGGGTTAGAAAGCTGGGCTCGGGACAGGGTTCAGCACAGGCATGGCAGGCACGGTGAATGTGAACTTCTCAGTCTGGACAAAGGCAATGCCCTTCTCATAGTAGGCAGCCTCATTAATGAACACGGGGTACACCGTGGACTCCCCGTCATAGAGCAGGTCCTCCCCACTGAACATCTGGAAGATGGGAGCACCGGGCTGCAGCGGCTGGAAGTCTCGGTCCTGGGAGGAGAGCCAAGTCCAAGATTGCTGGAGCCACCTCTGCCCTGGCCCCAGAGGGAGGTGACCCCAGCTTGGTACCCAAAAGATACCCCTCATTTGTGGCCTTTCCCACCCACGCTTCACTTCCTCAATCCGTAAGACAGCAGGTCTGGTGAGATGCCAGTCTGCTCTGTGTCTAGAAATGAAGGCACAAGTCACTTTGGGGAGGCATGTGCCCATGTGGAAGTGGACCCTCATGGACATGGGCACAGGTATTGAAGCTGGAGTTCAAATCCTTGCTAACCGTGTGACTGTGAGCAAGTCACTTAACCTCTGTTCCTCAGTTTTCTTGTCTGTAAAATAAGGATTACAGTATCTCCTCCTATCATTCTGAAGTTTAAACTAAACAGGTTAATAGTGCTTACAGCATGTCTGGCACACAGTAAGTACAATATGATTCTTTATTAAATAAAATTTGGCTGGGCACAGTGGCTCACGCTTGTAATCCCACCACTTTGGGAGGCCAAGGCTGGTGGATCATAAGGTCAGGAGTTCAAGACCAGCCTGGCCAACATGGTGAAACTTCATCTCTACTGAAAATACAAAAATTAGCTAGGTGTGGTGGTGGGCGCCTATAATCCTAGCTACTCGGGAGGCTGAGGCAGGGGAATCGCTTGAACTTGGGAGGCGGAGGTTATGGTGAGCCAATATTATGCAACTGCACTCCAGCCTGGGCAACAGAGCAAGGCTCTGTCTCAAACAAATAAATAAATAAATTTTAAGGCCGGGCACAGTGGCTCATGCCTGTAATCTCAGCACTTTGGGAGGCCGAGATGGGCAGATCACTTGAGGTCAGGAGTTCAAGACCAGCCTGGCCAACATGGTGAAACCCTGTCTGTACTAAAAATACAAAAATTAGCTGGGTGTGGTGGCAAGTGCCTGTAATCCCAGCTACTCAGGAGGCTGAGGCAGGAGAACTGCTTGAACCCGGGAGGCAGAGGTCACAGTGAGTTAAGATTGCACCACTGCACCCCAGCCTGGGTGATGAAGCAAGATTCTGTCTCAAAAAATAATAATAATAAATAAAAAATAAAATAAAGTTTAGAATTGTAGGAGGGGCCACCCAAATTGACCGTTACTACTTAACATCTGCAAGGTAGCTGGGCACGGCTGGACTAAGACTGCCTAGCCCTAAACACGGACAGGACGGCGCTGCCTCCATTTGTAAGAAGGTAACTCCTCAAAATGAAACTTCAGGGCACAAAAGGCCACAAAACTGCACCAGACCCTATTCAAAAATGACCCGTGTGGCAGCAAGCAGAGCAGCAGCCAGTGGGTTCTCCCCAGGCACCCAAGAGAAAGGTGTGGAAGCAGGATTGCCCAATCCTGGAACATTCCAGAAGGGAAGGCCTGCAGAGAGAGAGACTTGGACGACCTGCCAACAGGCATGGGGATGCTCTCAACTGAAAATCAGAAGAGAGTTTTGTATTTGCACCTCCAAGCAGGTGAATTGAGTCATGCCTGCTCCATGTCCCCTCCCTCTGCCTTTTATGGCCAGGGTAAGGTTGTCTCCATCATGCCCTCCACAGGAGCTATGGGGATCACTGTGGCCTCTTATGCTAGGCCTGAGTGTGGGGTTCCAGGGAAGGCAGCAGGGCCAGGAGAAGTAGGACAGTGGAGCCCAGCCTCCCATCCTGCTCCTCAACCCGAGATGCTGGTGAGATCATGGGAGGCTTGGCTGCACCCTCTGGGGCTCAGTTTTCCTTGACAACCCTCCTCCCCAAGGCTGTGGCCCCAGCAGTCACCCCCACCACACACACACCCACCTGCAGCTGAGGATGCACAGTGCCTGCCAGGTTCCCGGCATCAGTGCGAGGGAAGTCCACGACGCCCACGGGTCTATAGGCTTCCATCTCAAAGGCGGGAAAGGCCGTACCTGTGTGGGAGGCTGGGCTTGTGAGCTCATCCCTCCCTCCAGGCTAGGGGACAGAGTGGGCTGTGGGGGAGCCTCAGGGCTAGACGCCAGCCTGCCTGTGAGCCTGGCTCCCCAGCCCCTGAGCCAGGCCTGCTCTTCCCCAGACCTGTTTCCCGAAAGTCCCCTGGGGTCTCACCCTGGTTGAAGAGTTCGATGAAGTCCAGAACTGTGGCCACCAGGGTCCTCATCCTTGAGAAGATGTCAGCCCGCAGCACACCCTGTGGCTGGGGGCCCAGCTCCAGAGCTGGGGACCAGGAAGCAAGGGGTTAGGCAGGCGTAGGACCCATATACTCCTTGAAGAGGCCCCGCCCCTTGGTGCCTGGTCCCGCCCCTCCAACCCTCCTGGCCCCGCCCACTTCTCAGAAGGTTGCTGCCCACCCAATCCATTTTTGGCCACGGAGTCCAGGTTGTAGCTTTCCTCCCCAGACCGCTGGTACAGGAAGACCTGGCAGGACAGCTCGGGGTACCGCAGCTGGGGGCAAGAGAGGCAGCTTAGGGGCCCAGGCCTACGTGGGAGGGGAAACTGAGGTGGGAGGGTGTTGCATGGAGGAAACACAGGGCACCACCCTCCTTGGCCAGGTCTCCCTCTGCCCTCTGGCAGGGTGGGGGAGGGGGTACCAGGGGCCTGGAGTGCTGGCGGGTGGCAGACCCCAGGGGCTGAAGCCCAGGGAAACTTGGCCCGGGGAAGAGGGGCTAAGCAAAGGAAGTTCCAGCATTGTCCCGTCCTGCCCTCCCTCTCCCCTCTGGGAGGCTGTGTGCTGGGGGCTGGGGCCACCTGCAGGTGGCGACACAGGTGCATGGCAAAGACTTCGTGGGAGGACTTCGCGATTAAGCAGGTGCCCATGTTGGCCGTGGTGTTGTGCAGGTCAAGGACAAAGTCAAAGGCCCGGCCTGAGGCCTTGGGCCCCAGCAGCTGGTTCAGCTCTCGGGCTCTTGTCACCTCATATGGGTCGTCCGGGGTGGGCCTGGAACTGTGGAGATGGGAATGGGTGACAGCGACCCCCACAGTCTCAGTCAGTCTTCAGTGGTTTAAGGGGGAAGGGGCAATGGCCCTGCAGGAGCTACACTGAGCATCGCGAGGGCTTTCTCTTCTGCCACTGTGGCTGTGTCCGCTCCTGCCCATGGCCCTGTTGGCTCTGCACTTCCCGGTAAAATCCAAGCCCTCAGCCTGGCCCGCCCTCCTGCCTGCCTGCCCACTTGCCTGCCTCTCATGCCCTCACTGCAACCACACAGCCTGAGAACCATGCTGGTCTCACCCCTGGGCCTATGCTGTGCTTGGCCCTCCAGTGAAAACTCCCTCTCACCTCTCTTCCCCTGGCTAGCTTTTACTCAGCCTTTGGGGCTTGGCTGATAGACCATTGCCTCCAGGAAGCCTTTCCTGACTGCTCTCAGCCAGGTTAGCTGCTTTGTGTAGCCCCTGGCCCTGCCTTTAGCCTCCTGGGCTATGGTTGCCTGGTTCTTGGTCTCCCCATTAAGCTTGAAGCCAACACCTTGGTCCTATTCCCCATTCTCTCACCTGAGCTGGCCAGAGTCTGGCCTGGAGATAGGACTCAGTGACTATTCATTGGAAGAAGGCATGAACAGTGGTCAGGGCACACAAGTAAACGTGGCCTGTGGGGTAATCTGAGGGAAGCACCGAGTCTGGGATCCCCAGAAGAGGTCCTGACCCAACCTGCAGTCAGAAAGGGCTTCCTGGAGGAGGTGACATCAATCTGGGTTTCTCTAAACATTCAGTTTGTCCCCGTGGTGGAATGGGTCACACAGGCAGAGGGGAAGCAGGAGTGAAGACAGGGAGGGCCCTGCTGGTGGCTGGAGGGAAGGTTTGTGGTGGGGACTTGGTGCCTGACTGCCTGGGCCAACCTGGAGGCAAGAGCACTCACTTGAGGAAGCTGCTGGTGAAGGCGCGGTTGAGGTCATGGTCCACGTAGCGGCGGCAGGCGGCTGTGGCTGCGGGGTTGGCCAGCACAGGCACAGCGGAGAAGCTGAGTCTCTGCAGCTCCGCGGGGGCCTGCAGCCAGTGCTGGGCCAGGTAGACACCTGACATCTCGTTGCCATGCGTGCCCCCGGTGACAGCCACGCGACGCAGGGGCTCCCGGGGCACAGGCAGTGAGCACATGCTGGTGTGGGGTGCAGCACCTGGGGGTGGGCATACTTAGGAGACCGCGGCCCCGATGCAGGGCCTTGGGCACAGAGCAGGGATGGCAGTGGGAGGCCCCTCAGGGCAACCGCCTGTCAAGAGGTGTGGCTGGCTGGGAGCGTCTCAGCTGTGTCCCCCCTGCACCCCCAGGGGCTCTTTCTCTGAGGAGACAATTTTCCTGCTCCTTTGGAGAAAAGAAGTTTATTTTTCCTGAATTGAGAAGAAGGGCCCAACTGTTCGGGAAGATGGGTTCACCAAGGCACACTCCCTATAGGAAGAGGACTGTGCTCCTTTTTTTTTTTTTTTGAGAAGGAGTCTGGCTCTGTGGCCCAGACTGGAGTACAGTGGCCGGATCTCAGCTCACTGCAAGCTCCGCCTTCCGGGTTTACGCCATTCTCCTGCCTCAGCCTCCCGAGTAGCTGGGAACACAGACGCCCGCCACCTCGCCCGGCTAGTTTTTTGTATTTTTTAGTAGAGACGGGGTTTCACCGTGTTAGCCAGGATGGTCTCGATCTCCTGACCTCGTGATCCGCCCGTCTCGGCCTCCCAAAGTGCTGGGATTACAGGCTTGAGCCACCGCGCCCGGCGCTCCTTTTTATAGACAGGGAAACTGAGGCACAGCGTGGGGAGTGGAAAGCGTCACCGGAGTTAGCTGTGGAGCGTCTGGGTTCTAGGCAACAACTTCGCCTTCCTGCCCCTCCTGTTTGCTCCTCCAAGCTGGTGCAGGGGTCTTAGGGCAGGGGGTACTTGCCTGCTGATGCGAATCTGGGCTTCCCGGGCCACCAGGACTGGCGTCTAACTCACAGACAGGCTGATATTTATGGGCCTGGAGATCCACAGATGGGAAGTTCTGTGGCAAGTTAGCAGAGAGCAGCTGGCGGGTGGGACGGGCTGAGGTTCACGCAGCCAAAGGTCGGAGTGCTGGGGCTGCTCCACTGCCCCTGCCCCACCTTCCCCACTGTTACTTGTGCTGCCACGGTCCATTGAGTTCAGGTCCTGTGGGCAAGTTCCTGCCCCTGCCCTTTGTCCTTCTGCTGGTCCCCAGAGGGGCCACCTTCCTTAACACCACTAAGAGGTACACCCGCAGTGGGGTGGTGACTCGGGTTTGGTCACCACTAGAGCAGGCTATTGGAAGTTACTATAGAGGTGTCACCTTGATGGCCACCAAGATGATAAGCTGCTCCTCCTTCGCCACCTCGCAGCATGCCTCTGTCCTTACAGCCCCCAGAGGGCTGTGGTCACTCCCGAGTCACCCTTACCCAAAGGTGCCACGGGGAGCCCCAGTTTTACAGCTCTTTGTTGCTTTAAGCAAAATCTCAAAATGTTTGATCCGGGATTTCAGTCATTTTCAAGGACAGTGTAACTCAGATGACTCGGTTTGCTCTGTTTTGGAAACGATCCTCAGGCTCATTTTATAGATGTGAAAACTGAGGTTCAGACAGATGTCCGCAGGCACACGAGCCCTAGAGATGGGCTGCCCACAAGCACACAGAGCCCTAGAGGTGGTAGAGGTGGACTGCCCATGGGCACACAGAGCCCTAGAGGCGGGCTGCAGGTGGCACTCAGGGCGTCCAATCTGGCTCCATCCCCTCCTGATGCCTCTCAAGAGCAAAGTGGGGAAGGATGAAGGTGAGGTCCCCCGCACTCAGCCCTGGGGCCTCTCCCTCCCACCAGGCTCAGCTGTCTGCTGGGAGGAGCTGAGGCCAGTTCAGAAGTCACTGGGGAGTGAGGCAAGCCGCTTTGCCAGGGCCTACTGGATGCCAGGTGCTGGGACTCCGAGCTGGAGCCTCCCCCAGGCATCCAATCCCAGGCCTTCTTTACCACCACACTGGGTCTCCCTGGGCCAGTCCAGCCCTGCTCCAGATGCCAGGCCCACCAGCCTGGGGGGCTCTGGGTGGCCAGGACCCTCTTGAGTTACACCCTCTCAGAAGCTGCCCCAGATCACACTCAACTCCGTGTGGCCTGGGCTCTCCTGCCCTCCACACCCAGGGCTCCGTGAGCTCAGAGCATACGGATTGTGGGGACAGGGGATTTGTCATCCTGGCTCCCATCAGGGCAGCTGGGACCTTGACAGGGTGTTAAGAGGGTTGGATGGAGTGTGAGGCTGAGCCCCCAGCAGGCCGGGGCTCCCTATGAGCCCCCTCCAGGGACCACTCCTCCTGGCACCTGGAGCCTCAGCAAAGGGAGGGCAGAGACTGCCATTAGGGGGCCATGCCATGTCATCGACTCCTGTATCTGGCCCAGCCCTGGGGGCAGCTGTCACTGGCTCCATTTTGCAGGTGTGGACTGAAGCTCTAGGGGTTGGGTGACTCGACTGAGTCCTTGGCAGGTGGTGGGAGAGGGAGTCAGCAGAGGAGCCTGTCGGCCTGGGTCTGGTCCCTCCTTGCTTGGGGTAGGGGTCTCAGGGACCCCCATGCTGCTTCATGAGTCCCAGGCCATGGTCTTTGTTGGAAGGCCCCGCCAACCCCCACAGAGGCTGGGATCCTGCTGACTCGGTGTGGTGCCTCTCAGGAAGGAAGGGCCTGCTTGGCAGACCTAGCTACTTTGGGGGCTGCTGGGGGCCGGAGTGCTTCCTGCCACGAGGCGCTGGGCCCCCAGCTTCGGGGAGGACAGCAGTAGGGGTGCTGGAAAGTTTCACTTCCCTTGGCTGGGGTCCGGCTTCTGCATTTCAGTGAGTGTTTATAGAATAGAAAGGGGGCCAGGAGCCCATGCAGGAGCCTCAGAAACAGCAGCCCCCAGTCCCAGCAGTGTGCTTGCATGTGTGCATGCGTGTGCATGCATGTGTGCATCTGTAAATGTGTGCATGTGCATGAGAGCATGTGTGCGTGCGTGTGCGTGAGAGCATGCATACGTGCATGAGCGTGTACCTGTGTGTGCATGTGCAAGAGAGTATTGTGTGTTTGTGCATGTGTGTGTGCATGCATGTACATGTGTGCATGTGTGTGCATGAGAACGTGTGTGCATGTGTGCGTGCATGTGTGCATGTGCTTGAGAGCATGTGTGTGCATGTATGTGAGCATGTCTGCATGTGTGTGTGTATGTGCACACGTGTGACCTGGATTTGACCCCGCCTCCCTGACAGGCTGTGTGACCTGGAGAGTTTCAGTGCCCTCTCTGGGCCTTGGCTCCACGCTGTGAAAGTCCTGGCCAAGGACAGCTGTGGGGAGTGAGGAACAAAGGGCGGGCAGAAGCTTGAAAATGGGCACATGGAGACTCCAGCGTGAGTGAGGGCAGAGGATGGTGGTGTCATGGGCATCATCACTGGGGCCAATTTCTTCACTGCAGTTGGGGAAACTGAGACCCAGAGAGGGGTCAGAGCTGTGGTGTCCCCCTGTGGCAGCATCCAATTAGATCATGCCTCCTAGCATCACCTCATTGCAAGATGCAATCAGATCACGCCTCATTACCCTATGCTTAGAAAACCTGCGGCAGCTTGGGGAGACACCACTCTGGGAGATGTCTCGGTGTTCTCCTTACTTGTTGCAAGAAATCAAATCCCCTGTTAAATCCTCTTTAGTTAACACCCGCCAAGCAACCGAGCCCACCCGTTGTGTGGATAACAAAACCCTGGCGACCCAGACGGGGCCAGCTGGGATTCTGATCCTAACTCCTTGACGCTCACTAAGGTGAAGCAGTGGGCAGCGGCACCTCCCCCGGGAGAACTCACCCACGTGGCCCCAGAGGGTTGAGGATGACTCCCGGGGACCTTCCGCTTGCTGCACGGCCCATGGGGCTGTCACTTGGCCCTACCCCCGAAACAGCGGAAGCAGCTGCCTGGAGCTTTTGTTCGGCGCTGCTCCTTCAGGGAAGAAAGTGGACGTTGCCCCTTGGGTTGACTGAAAGGGTAAATTCTTTGGATCTAGCAGTGGGATCTCTAGACTTCAGCACAGTGCAGCTCTGCTTCCAGTTTCTGTCTCTGCTCTGCGTGCCCTGGGGGATTGAGGGGCATCTCCAGCCAGGTCAAGGGCAACCCGCATCTGGGTAGACAACAGTGGGACTGGTTTTGGGAAATCGGTTTTTTTTTTTTTTTTGGAGACGGAGTCTCACTCTGTCACCCAGGCTGGAGTACGGTGGCGTGATCTTGACTCACTGCAAGCCCCATCTCCTGGATTCATCCCATTCTCCTGCCGCAGTCTCCCTAGTAGCTGGGACCACAGGCGCCCGCTACCACGCTCGGCTAAATTTTTGTATTTTTAGTAGAGATGGGGTTTCACCGTGTCAGCCAGGATGGTCTCGATCTCCTGACCTCGTGATCTGCCCGCCTCAGCCTCCCAAAGTGCTGGGATTACAGGTGTGAGCCACCGCGCCCGGCACGGGAATTTGTTCTTTTTTAGAGAAACAGATTTTTTCACAGGAGGCTGAGCTGCTCCATCTCCCAGAGCCCCCGCTTGCCATACCCTGGGTTACCAGAAACAGGAGCTCTGCTATTTGATGAAAAAAATGCTTTTTTCAGATAAATGTTTTTATTGTATTATCACACAAAGCGGGTAAAGTTGTATATATACACATACAACTTTTTACAAATACGTGACCATATGTACAAAGGCTAGAAGGAAATATACAGAAAAATATGTATTAAAATACTGTTTTTTTTCATTATTTTATGAGATACTCTACAAAACATTACAATGAGGTAGGACTATTTTAATGCTAATTTCATTAAATGGATTTGTTCAAGAGCTTCTTTGCCAGCCAGGTGCAGTGGCTCACACCTGTAATCTCAACACTTTGGGAGGCCAAGGGGAGCAGATCGCTTGAGCCTAGGAGTTCAAGACTAGCCTGGGCAACATAGGGAGACTCTGTCTCTACCGAAAAAAAAAAATTAGAGTGGGCGCGGTGGGTCACACCTGTAATCCCAGCACTTTGGGAGGCTGAGGGGGGCAGATCACCTGATGTCAGGAGTTTGAGACCAGCCTGGCCAACATGGCAAAACCCCGTCTCTACTAAAAATACAAAAATTAGCTGGGCGTGGTGGTGGG